TGTCCACATGATGTTATATGTTTGGATTTGAGGGTTTGTGTCCAAATGATACTGGGTACTGAGGGTCTGTGATCATGTATACTTTGTGTGAGAGTGCCAAGGGTGTGTATCTATGTAATTGTTAGAATGTTAAACCCATGTGTTCCTAACATGCTGCACGTCTGTGTGTCCCTAAGATGAGCTTACCACTAGTGAATGGGAATTTCTTCCTCTCCCCTTTCCTTCATTTAACTCTTTGATCTCCATTCCTAGGTACTTCTTCTGACCCTTCAGGGGCTCCAGAACCTTTCTAGCCCCCTTTTCTCCAGCCAGGGTTGGGGTCTCCCTAGTATCTAGGTAGATGCCTAGGCTTTGCAGAGCCATGTGTGAGTTAAGCACCCATTCTAGGCAATTTCTCTGCTGTGGTGCCCTTCCCCTCCCTCTTCACTGTCTCTGAGTCAGTTTATCTTCTGCGTGCCCCTCCCTCCTCCTTTCAACATTTTTGGTCCAATTTTTTCTGCTGTATGCCACTCTACTACCTTCCCCCCTTCACTGTCTGTGATGCATTTTTTAATATTATGTTCTTGCCCTTTCCCCTTTCCCATCCATAGTCCAGCTTTTATGTTGTATGCCCCTCCCCCTTCCCCATTTCTAGTCCAGCTTCTCTGATGTTTTCCCCACCTCCTTCCATCCCTCCTCCATCAAAACTAGACATTCTTTCAATAGAGGCCAGCCCCCACACCCTTTCGCCCTGTCCGTCCCTGCCCCCACATCCCCCCTTCCTGTCATGGGCTCTTGGCCCATGAGTATAGATGACAAGGATACTGCTTTGACCCAGAAGCCTGGGATATGCTGGATGATAAGGTCTCTGCGCTCCAAGAAGGGTCTCCGCATCTGGATGAACTTGCGCTTGAGACGGAGGAAGGCCTTGCCTGCCTTGATGTTCACCGCCTCCAGGTCCAGCTGAATATTCTCCAGTGCCTGCAGGATGTACTCTATCTTCTGGGCATTCATCTCTTTGCTTTCCTTCTTCACCTTCCTCTGCTTCCTCTTCCTCCTCCTCCTCTTCCTCACACTTTCTTTTTCATCCTCATCGTCTTCCACTATGATGATGGCCTCTTCCTTCCCCTGTAGACCAGCTAACATCTGGTACCCCCGCCCCCCTATGCTACAGGTTTCTAGGGCCTTTTCTCCATCAAAGCTGCTGGGCTCCGAAACCTGAATGTCGATTTCCAGGCTTCCCCCAGAAACCTCCGAAGGAGAGAGTGTTTCCAGGCTCTCCGTGGGAGGGGGCGCCCCCCCATACCCAGACTCGATCTCAGGATCCCAGCAGGAACACCCAGCACCCAGGGTGAAGTACGCGCGGACTCCCCCCTCCTCCAGAATGACATAGGGCGGCGGCGGGGGCAGAGTGGGGCCCAGTCCCACCCCCCTCATGTCAGCCAGCACCTGTGCCGCCTCAGTTTCCTCCCGGAGCCTCGGGCGCTGCTCCGGTGGAGGCAGGGGCAGTCGCAGGAGTGGCGGCGGCGGCGGCGGCGGCGGCGGCGGCGGCGGCAGCACGTCGTCCTGAGGGGGCTCCGAGCTGCTCAGGCGGCGGGCCTTGGCCGGAGGCCCCTCATCCGGGCGGTCCATGGTGACCGCGCTCACACCGCAAGGGGAACCGCGCTCGCCCCTTCACTCAGCCAGGCCGCTGCTGCCTGTCACACCTGAAGCGGAGCCACCGCGCCTCACGCGACTAGCTCTGCTCACAGCCTCGCTCTGGCGTTCCCTCCCACAGCTCCTGCCCTATTCCCTCCGCGCCAAGCGCCCAGGCCCCGCCCCTCCCTGATGTCAGGGGCCCGTTTGCTTTGCCATTGGCTGTTGGCCGTAGAGGCGTCACTCACGCTCCCTAGACCACTGCTCGCTCTCCCGCAATCTGCTTGCCAACACCCCACCTCATCACTTTCCCATTGGTTCTCCTCGGTCAGCCAATCATCGGGCTGACACCTCCCCCTCCCCTGACCGACCAAAGGGAAACTGCTGGGCAATTGGCCGTGAGAAAAGCTAAGGGGAAGAAGCCCTTCTCCCTCACCTTTCAACGTTTTATCCAATGGGAAAAGTACCAATGGTCCTCCTTTTATTTTTAATTGAATTAGAGGATAGAGGGAGGATAAATGGTGATGGAAGGAGACTTGGCTTGGGGTGAACACACAATACAATATACAGATAATGTATTGTAAAGTTGTACCCCTAAAACCTATATAATTTTATTAACCCATGTTACCAGTGGTTCTTAGGACCAGAAAACGAACGCAGGCACGGAGCACGACGTGCTCAAATCAAATTGGAGAGCCTAGCTGTCGTTCATTCTCCCTCCCCTCCCCTCCCCTCCCCTCCCCTCCCCTCCCCTCCCCTCCCATTTCCCTTCAGGAACTACGCAGTTTTAAAAAACTGCCCGTGTCCCTTCCGCAATCCTCGGCTTTTGCCCTGCAGCAAACTCTGATGAGGTCCCTGGGGGCTCAGGGGGCTCTAAATGAGCCTGCACTTTAGAAACCTAGGGCCTTTGGTTTGAGGCCAGGTTTTGACGTGGCGTTTTCCATCTCTGCAAAATGGCTCTAGAAATAATAATCACGCAAAAAAAAAAAAAAAAGGTAACTTCCTATGCGTCATTAAAATGTGATTCAGTTCGTATGCTAGATTTTTCTAGAACTTTGTCTTCATCTACCCAATACTTCTTCCCCTCCTTTCCCCTCTCCCTGTACCCAGTCTATACTGTATTAATTGTATTTCAAACATTATTTTGGCCAGATGGACAGTCTCGGTGAGGCATGGTGGTGGGGTTCTGGCTTTGGTTGGGATTCAAATCATGGGTCTCTTCCTCGCTTTATAACTCACTCTCTCTCTGAGCTTCAGTTTCACCTCCTCTAGGTGAGGCGTTCTTAAAGTGTAGGAAACTGCCCATTGCAGCCTTGTTGTAGCAGAGAACTGGAGGCAACCTAGAGACCCATCACCAGGGGAATGGATAAGGAAAATGTGATATATGTGTATAAGATGGACCACTAGAATGAGTTAGATCTGCATACGGCAACATGGCTGGATCTCTCAAAAACAGAATGTTGAGTGAAAAAAGAAACAGAACAAGATTTATAGTACAATACTGTTTATGTAAATTAAAACACATAACAATACCATATATTTTTCACAGATACACATATATGTAAATAAACACATGAATGGTTGATTGGAAGGATGTATGTTAAATACAGGAGAGTGGGTGCCTGTGTGGAAGAAGGGAATGGGATCAGGGATGGGCGATGAAGGGGACAAAATAAAACAAAATAAAGAATAAAAGGGCTTCGCATGGATCAGTGATGATATAGTGTGCCAAGAACTGAGGAGTATGGTCAACTCAATTCTGTGCACCTGAGAGAATAAGTAAATAAATAATAAGGTAATCAAGTGCCCAGGCAACAGGCTGGCTGGGTAGACTCCCAGGCTTGGGTTCCCTCCTCCTCTGACATCCCTCCCTCTGAATTTAGCCAAAGTTTACCCAAGTCCCAGCTGTGTAAAGTAGGCCCTTCAGAAGATCTCCCATCCCAGACTGAACAGTCCTTCCAGAAGCCATTTCTTTGTGGGGGGCGTTTCCTAAGTCTATATGTTCTCCCCAAGTCCGATCCCTAATTCCCAATCCCCATTCTCCATGGTGGTCCAGTTTCAGGAACACCTTGTTTAGGTTTTGGAGAAGAGATTGATTCAGGAGTCAAAAGCGGGGGCTCCAGGCTTTGGGAAGAGATGGGTTCTCAAGTATTCTATCTGCCATGTTCAGAGTCTGGACCGAGGGAGGAAGATATGATGAGATGGGAGTCTCCCTCTTGCTACATACATGCATACAGTTTTCAAGTGCCATCTCTCCAACCACTCTACTTCCTGCTGCAGGCACATACTCTGGTTTGTCTCCTCTCAATTAGGTGCATACATGTATGTGTGTGTGCATGCCATATGTCTCCACATACAGGCATTTACTCACATGTGTGTACCAGGCAGGGGTGCCTCCCCACACAAAGTCACACAGACACACTGTCTCACTCGATCATACCTCTCCACATGTGGTCATGCAGACAGGACACAGACACACAGACACACAAACAGACACACACACATACACACAGTCAGAAAGAGAAAACATCCAATATAGCATTGTTCATTTCAGTTTTCCATTTACAAAATCCAATGGTGAATCCAGGCAGTTAGAAAAAAGAAATGGAGGAAAACCCTCCTGAATGCACCCTATCTATCCCCACCCCTGTGGTCCCCCCACCCCACCCCCTGGAAAAGGCACCCCCATCACTATCACTGAGAGAACAGGTAACCCCCCACCCCCAGCCTCTCAGCCACTCTGGCCTGCCTTTCCAGGGCAACTCCACAGCCAGGCTCATTAATGTCTCTCTTGCCTAGAGTGCCCTCCCCATTCTCCTGGGGGTCAAGGCTTCCCCAGTTCTGGGGCCATGTTGGGGTAGGGTGGGAACTTAGGACAAGGGTTTCAGTAGGCAAGGGAAGGGAGGATGGATAAATACAGATCTGCCCTTCCCCCAGGAAATGAGAAGGGGACAGAGAACCTGGGCAAGACCAGGCCAAGGAGTGCCACCAGTTCAGATCCCCAGTCCACAAGAACTGGCCTTGGTGTGATCCCAGAGTGGACTCTGCCCTGGGAGGAAAGCTTGGGAATCACCCACCTGGGGAATCTGGCTACAGTCGGTTTCACTTTGGGAGGAGGTGAGGATGGAGGGAGGAAAGTTGGGAGCTGAGGGCCCAGAAGACCAAGGGTTACCACAGAGGGGCTTGAGGCCCCTGAGGCTTAAGGAGGACAAAAAGAGGTCAGATAGGAATGGACTCAAATCCACAGTACCTTGGAGCTTATCAACTATGAGATACCAAGGCCCCAAAAGAAATTTCATCTTTGGGAGAGTAGCGTGAACTCAGAAGACAATTCTGGGTTTGAATTCCACTCTGATGCCAGGTTCTGGGATCCAGCTACTCTGGGGAGTTCGGCTCTCTCCCTACACTTTCCTGGGGGGCTGCTCCCGCCTATATGGTACCCACATCAGCCCTAGTGGGGCTAGAGTAGATTTCCATCCTCAGAAAGAAGAGTTGGGGCCTGGGGATCCAGGAGGCAGCTCGAGAGAATGCAGCCAAGCTCACATATCTTCAGCTCCAGGTGTGCAGCTCACATCCCGCTCTTCACCTAGCCTGGGCCCATGCTGGGGGCCCTTATCCCTCCCCCCCGGCTTCTCAAACTGGTGCTCAAGAAACACTTTGGATGTCTGGACATAGTGGGAAGCAAGAAGAGACTGGGCTTGGGACCAGGGTTAGCCTAAAACAACATTGCACACAACATAGCAATTAAACATCCCTGCTCCCTGGGGACCCTGCACCCCCTTTGGTCCCACTTACCAACAGATCCATTTCTCCCTAAACATCCATGCCTTGCTAAAGGACTTGGCAGGGGAGGGTACATGGGAGCAGAGGGGGCCAGAAGAGCTCTAAAAGTCTATTTTACAGGATAAATTTCCCCATTCTGGACAATGTCAGAAGGAGAGACATTAAAGCAAGAAAGCCTGACTCCTCAGCTGTTAGTAGAAAAACCTGCATTTTCACTTTTGTTTTCTTTTTCTGAATTGGAGGGAGAGAGGGAAAGAGAGAGAGAGAGATTTTGATTGATTGTAGAAGTGGAAAAAGAGGCAGCAGAGACAGGCCCTAGAACTAGGAACACCCCTTTCCAAGTCTCCCACGGCTGGGGAGGTGTTGGCAAAGGTGCCTAGATTCTGGGTGGTTTGAGGGGCTAGAGCTGGAGCCCAGAAAGAAAGGCTCCTGTACAGGGCCCTACCCCTCCCCTTCTGTCGGCCCCATCATGGTGGCCATGACCTACTCCCTGTCTGTCTGCCTACCAGCCTGCTTCACATGACACAGTAGGGTTCTCTGGGAGCCGGGGCACCTCCTGTGCCCCAGCAGGGGGCGTGAGTCCTCAGGCACTTCTTGAGGTCCTTGTTGAGCAGGAAGCAGACGATCGGGTTGACGGCAGCCTGGGCGAAGCTCATCCAAACAGCAGTGGCCAGGTAACGGTGGGGCACAGCGCAGGCTTTAACAAACACTCGCCAGTAGCAGGCCACGATGTAAGGTGACCAGAGGAGCAGGAAGAGCAGTGTGATCGCGTAGAACATGCGGCCCAGCTGCTTTTCACCCTTGACCTCGTCCATGCCCAACAGCCGCCGGCTGGCTGCATGCCCATTCTGCCGTATACCTAGCAGGGTTGGTGGCATGGGCCCACGGCCAAAGCCAGCGATCCAGTTGGCAGCAGCCTGGCCAGTGGCCCCAGGACCATGGAATGTCCAGTTCTGGCTGATGGCTGGCACCATCTGCACTGGCTTCATCTTGCGGTGACGATATTCAAAGAGGAGCAGTTTGCCATAGACAGCATGTGTGGCTGCCATGAGCACAGCCAACATAAGCATGAAACCCAGTGTGTCATTGGCCTTGAAGTAGCGATGCTCAAAGATGCACTGGTCCTCCTCGCGGATAAACTTGTAGGTGCCCACATCGAAGACAGGTGGGAAGGCCATGGCCACAGATAGGGTCCAGGCCATGCAGATGACGGCTGCACATGTCCAGAGTGTCATGCGTTTGGCGTAGAAGCGGTGGTGGGCAATGGCCATGTAGCGGGTGACGCTGATGCAGAACAGCATGAAGGCCGCATGGAAGCAAAAGAGCACAGCCATAAAGGCCACAATCTTGCAACTGAGCGCACTGAAAGTCCATGAGGAGCCGTGGCGCACAGAAGCCAGTACAAATGGGAAGCAGACGGCAGAGCGGATGCCGTCGGCCAGGCACAGGTCCAGCAGAAAGTAGTAAGGAGCCTTGTGCAGGGCACGCTCCTTGAGCACCAGCAGCGACAAGATGGCGTTGCCCGCCAGGCTCACGCACATGATCAGTCCCAGCAGCACCAGCTTTACATAAGCCGATGCTGATGGTGGGGACAGTGCGCCGCTCACCTCCTCGGGCTCTCCAGTGGTGTTGGCCATAATGAGGGGCAGGGGCTACTCCCAACCCTATGAAGTCAGCCAGTCCGGTACTGAATGGGGGACTCCATCAGTTGTCCTGCTGGGGCGCACCTGCAAACGGGGGTAATGGAGGAGACACAGACATAGAGAAATGAGGGCAAAAGAGAGGCAGAGAGAAAAAACAGACAGAGGCGCAGAGACAAAGTGAGAAAGGATAGACAAAATAGGTAGAAAATGGCAACAAAGACATAGGTGGATAAAAAATTGAGACAGAAATGGAGGGGACGGAAGAGTAAAAAGAGATAAAGAAAGAGACAGAACCAGAGACAAGGAAAGGGGAAAAGAAAGAGAGAGAGGGAGAGAGACAGGGAGATATGAAAGAGGAGGAGTGGGGAGGAGGAGGAGAGAGGGAAGGGGAAAAAGAGAAACAAGAAAAAGACAGGGAGAAACACATGGAAAGTTTAAAAAGTGACAAAGAAACAGAAAGGGCAGTGTTAGTGTGACTGTGAAGCCCACACCCCCACCCCCCCTACTTACTCCCTGGCTGGTATCAGGCCCTGCCCCTGGCCCACTGCTGCTTCTACCCTCTCCTCGCTGAGTGGGCACACGTCATCTCCTTAGATGTCTTCAGTGACCTGTTTCCTACATTGGTGGATCTGTGAGGCAAGGATGTTGGTGTGGCTCTTTTCCCTTTGTGTAAAGCCCTAAAGTTGTGTCCTTCAAACTTTTCTGACTACCACCCATAGTAAGATTTTACATCACAACCTGGTACACATACACACACGTGCAACACAGATGAATCAAAAGTTTCGTAAAATAGTACAGAGTCTATGTCTAATACCCCCATTAGTTTCTATTCTATTTCATGTTTTTTTTTGTTAATGCTGGGAGCCACTCATTAAATAAGTTTCTTTATTCATGATCAGGAATGTGCTTAGCCTGCTAAAGGAACAGTGGGAAAACCAGTGTGGTTGGAATAGGGCAGGCGAGGGAGACTGGGGTAGAAGGTAAGGTCACAGAGATGTCCAGGGCCCAGTCATGTAGGACTGTGGGCCATGACAACGACTTTGGTTTTTAAGTGGGATGGAGAGGAGTGTGCAAATATAAAGATGTAGGTCTGCTTGTGTATATTCATTCATTGAAAAGCCATTTACTGAATATTTACCATTCCAGGCACTGGGGATACAGCTGCAAACCAGACAAAGATCCCTGCCTTTGTGGAGCTGACATCCTAGATAATAGAGATGATACATATGAAGGGATGTATAGTAGGTCAGATGATGATAAGTTCCTAAAAATAAAAAGGGAAGAAAGGGGGATAGGAAGTTAAGGGTGGGGAGATGCAATTTTAGATGAGGTGGACAGGGAAGGCTTCATGGAGGCATCATCTGAGCAAAGACCTGAAGGAGGTGAGAGTCAGCTATGTGTGTTCCTAGGGGAAGAGCAGTCCAAGCAGAAGGAACAGCCAGAGCAAAGGCCCTCAGGCGGGACCCCACAGGGTGCATTTGAAGAAGTGCAAGAAGGCCACTGTGGGTAGAAGAGAGTGAAAGGAAAGCGGTGGGAGGTGAGGTCAGAAAGTGGCAAGGCCAGATCATGCAGGCCATGGTAAGAACTCCGACTCTTACTCTGAGTGAGATGGGAGCCATGGGAGTGGTTGTGAGCAGAGACAAGATGTGATATAACTCAAGACTGAAAAGGATCCCACTTGCTGCTGTGAGGGGTACAAACCTTGGAGGCAAATGGGGAAGTGGGGAGACTACTTAGGAGGCTCTTGCAGTAATCCAGGTGAAAAATAATAGCACAACCATGCCCTTTGCCTTGCTTTCTTTCTTTTCCTAGAGTTTATCTCTTTTAACGCACTGTATTAATTTACTTTTAAAATTTGCTTTATTGCTTGCCTCTCCCTATAAGAACAAAAGCTCCATGGGGCAGGGCTCATGGACTCATGCATTCTCGTCTATAAGAGCGGTGCATAGCAAATGGCAAACCCACAGTCCAAAGGTGTCAATCAATTGATTGAGGGACCATATAGGCTGGTGGCTCAGGGAGGATTGCCTGGAGGTAGGATTTGTTGAAAGAGCAGCCTGGGCAGTGCATGAGTGGGAGGGAACAGGAAACACTTAGCAGGAAACAGGAAGAATCCTGGTGCGTGCAGGATGGGAGAGAGAGTGTGAGGTGGGAAAAGGTAACAGGGCAGGTACCAGAGGGAAGGTGGCCAGGCAGAAGCTGGAGAAGATCAGAACTACCGTGGGGGCTGGGATGGGCTTGAGGTTGGAGGAGGAAGGGCTTGAGTGGGTGTCTTTCTAACTGCCTCTGTCCCAGGAAAATGTCTCCCATCTGCACTGTTTTCCAGCTCAATGCAACCTGGCCTGCCACAGCCACCCGGGGCCAGGCTTTTTTGATGGTACCCTGAAGGCTCAGAGCCAGTGCCAACAGGCCACAAGAAAGTATTGGGACAGGGGCTCAGGAGAAGTGGGGTTGACAGGCTCCTTTCAGCTGGGCCTCAAGGCCTGATAGCTCACATAGAACTGTGGACCAGCCCACAGACAGCTGGGTATGTGTAAATGTGTATGCGCGCACGCGCGCGCACACACACTCTTTTAGCCTTGAGAGGAAGCAGGGGTGAGAGTTATAGAGACAGAGAGAAATTGAATCTAAGAGAGAGTCAAAGAGACACACAGAGTAACAGAGAAGAAAAAGAGACAGGAGCAGAGAAACAGAGAAGACAGAAATAGAGCAGGGGTGGGGAGAGACAGAGACATAGAAAGGAGAGATAGCCTTACATACAGAAAGGGATAGAAGTAGACAGAAAGGGGAAGAGGAGAAAAAGAGAGTGAGAAAAAAGAGATGGAGACACAGAGAAATGGAGAGAGTGGGAGAGACAGAGAAGGGAGAGAAAAAAATAGAGACAGAGAGAGAGGGAGACAGGGGGAGAGATAGATAGGTGGATATTGAAATAGATAGATAGAAGGAGAGGGATAATACCAGGAAGGAAAGAAAGATGTAGAGAAACAGAGATGAGGGTGGGGTGGAGACAGACGCAGAGAGAGGAAGAAATAGATAAAGATAGAGAGAGGGGGACAGAGAGACACACTAAGACCAAGAAGGTGGATAATGTGTAGTCCAGAGTCTCAGGAAAAACAAACACTAAGAAAAAACAATCACAGCAAACAAAACCCTGGTGTTTCCTGGAAAGCTAGGGCAATTGTATGAATAATAGAGGAGGGTTCTTCTGAGCACATACTGGCAGCCACAGCCTGGGTCCCTCATGCCCAGATGCCCTAGACACAGATACACAGACACCTACACACTCACACAGACACATAACCTACAGCAATGGCACCCGTGGATTGCAACCAGCTCACACATAGGGACATTGTGTGTGGTATGTGTGTGATATGCCTGCGCGTGCGCACACACACGGAAGGTATACTGTGTATGCTGCCTCAGTCACACAGGTAAAGTGTACCTTGCCAGTGCTTCATCATCAAGAAAGGCATTACTGCCCCCTACGGGACATTTTGGAAATTTGTAGGTGCATTTTTGGTTGTCATAATGCTGGGATGCAGGATGTCTTTCTAGTATTTAAGGGGCCAAGGAGAGGATACTGGTCATCCAGCGATGTGCGGGGCAGCCCCACACAGCCAACATATGTCCTGCATTCCCTAAGACTTCGGACTTGTAATGAACTGAACCTAAAATCTACCTCTATTTCACAGACAAATACAATTTTCCTCCTGCTTTTAATTCACAGTAGGTCCTTGATAATATTTCATTCAATGTCGCTTGGTTATAATTTTGACAAGATACCTTAGGAACTTAACTCTTGTTTGTATCAATTAGCCTAATGTAGAGCTGGTTTCATTATACATCGTTTTACCACAGTTTCAAGAACCTATTGACGACATTAACTGAGGACTTACTGTATCCTGAATTATCCAGGAATGTGGCTGTTAAGTCCACAAGAGACTGTACTTTGTTTTGTGGAGCACTTTCCTTAAGCTGTTCACTATTTCAGACATATCTCAGCCCTAGACTTTCCTACACTTCCTGCAAGGGGCGGCTTCTGATTTTTTTCCCCTTCTCTTTAACCCACATCTACTCATTCTGTTACATGATACTAATTACTTCATTGAATCTCCTGGGTAGTGTCATGGCCAAGCATTTACATTTGAAATACAAGTTATTTTCTTTTAAATCACTTTCCTTTTGTTTCTTTTTTCTTTGTAAGAGTGAATACAATGTGGCTATTGTATAAAATGCTGTATGGATTTTCTTTTGAAATTATATGTGCAGAGAGGTTATATTATTTAAGAACTTTGTGTCCAGATAATAAGGCAGTGTTACAAAATAAGTTACATAAAAGTGGGTGTTGGGTATAAGAGGGCTGAGAATTATATACACAGACAGACACACTCACATATATACATGTTCAATAGTTCATAAACCCACAATTATAATTCCCCCAACACACACACACACACACACTAGCAAACTCTCAAATCTTGATAAATATACACCTGCAAACCTACTCACTGTTACTCACATATAGACTCATATATCCCCTTTGTCTCATTATACCTGATTATTCAAATCTTCTCACATATTCACACAAACTCTTGCAATACACATATATAAACAGTGACATAGTTATATTATCACATATACAAGTAACTGTTACACACAGTAACACACAGATTCAAAGTCACTTAAATAGGCCAGTATGCTCACATGCACTTGAACCCTGCAACACACATACATACAAACACAAAGAAAAAATGGCCATGTATACAGACATACACAGACATGTACACTCAAACTTGTTCACAACACACAGATACTCTTACATGATGTATACATCCTGCAACAGGTATACACAAAGAGACAGTCCTGTGCATGTGTAGAGACCAGCCAAAGCCTGCACACACAGATGGAAACATTAGAAGAGCTGCCCAGCTGGTGGGCACCTGCCACAGCCAAAGACCTGAGCAAGATGCGGGGCTGGCTCTAGGAGGCCATGTAAAAAGAGACGTTGTTAGTGTTTGGGTCTCTTCCTGTTGAAACATGCCAGATCTTTTTCTGATTATTATTCTGATTGTCACTCATTCATCATCAGTGAGTGTTTTTTTTGTTTCCCTGTAAATGTACAATGTTTGTTTTTTAAAAATTTGATCTCATTTTTATTTTTCCACAACGTTTCTTCTCACAGAAATATAAGGGTTGTATGATTGTTGCTGTTATTACTATTATATAGTATTAGGTATTCCTTAGAGGAATGTAATTAGTTTGTTAATTTCCTTGATTGTTGCCTCTTTATAAAAGAAACTTTTTTCGAGAATATTTGGAACAGATAAAAAGTAGAAAGAATCCTGTAATGAATCTCAGTGCATCTATTGTCCAGATTCACTAGTGATCAACTCATAGGGTCTTATTTCACCTATAACCTCACATACTTCCCCTACTTCCAGAATATTCTGAAGCATATCTATTATACCATTTCATACATAAGCATTTCAGTATTTCTAAAAGACAAGAACACTTTAAAACGTTATAATAATGTCATTTTTATTATTTCTTAGATTATTTACTGATTTACTTGCTATTCGTTTTTAATACTAACAATTAGTGAAGTATAATTCTTGGTGGGATTTCATAACTAATCATTTTCTTTTTTCTTGGGTAAAAATATTTGCCAATAAATGAATGAAGCTTAACTGTAGTTGAATTCAATTGATTCACTGAAGAGAATGTTAGGCTTTTATGGTTCTTTTGGAGTGCTGCTTTGTTAAGCATGCAGAAGGCCTAAAATCTGTTTATTGGAAAACTGTTTTCAGAAGTCACAAAGGTCTGCTGACCTCTTCAATTTCTTATACTCAGTATATTTAATTTTAATTTAAGATATTTTCTCCATCATCATGGGCTTTTTATGTTGTAAAATCAAGAAACTCACAAGAAAAACACAGTAGTTTCCTGTTCCAGAAAAAATCTAGAATGTCCCTAATTTAAGCAATTTAATGAAGATTGTCCCAATTTTGGATTCAGCTGCCCAATTAGTCCTTTCTTCCTCAGCCTAAATATCTGATTTGTGTGGGAAAGTTATCAAAAAAACTCATTTCCCAATAGGCTATGTTGGTCAACTAACCACAGAACACTATCACACAGAGAAAGATTTGGACTTTTTAAAGCAACTGGAAGTGCAAATTAAGAAACAAGGCTTGTTTATGAGATGGG